ACTGTGTTCCTGGGTTTTTTTCTTTTTCCTCTTCTTCTTTCTCCTCCTTCCTCTTTCCTCTTCCTTCTTTCTCTCCCTCCTCCTCCTTCTTCTTCTTAAAGCAAGTCCTTTAACATTTCTTATAATACTGGTGTGGTGGTAACAAACTCCTTTAGCTTTTTCTTGTCTGGGAAAACATTTCTCTCTTAATTTTAAATGATAGCCTTGCTGGGTAAAGTAGCCTTGGTTGTAGGTCCTTGCTTTTCAACATGTTGAATATGTAATGCCAATCCCTTCTGGCATGAAATGTTCCTGTTGAGATATCAGCTGACAGTCTTATGGGAGCTCCCTTGTAGGTAACTAACTGCCTTTCTCTTGTGGCTTAAGATTTCTCTTTATCTTTAACCTTTGGCATTTTAATTATGTTGTGTCTTGGTGTGAGCCTCTTTGAGTCCCTCTTGTTTGGGACTCTCTGAGCTTCTTGGACTTGTGTGTTTTCCTTCACCAGGTCAGGGAATTTTTCAGTCATTATTTCTTCAAATAGGTTGTTAATCCCTTGTTCTCTCTCTTCTCCTTCTGGTGTCCCTATGTTGTGAATGTTGTTATACTTCATGTCCCAAAGGTCCCTTAAACTATGCTCATTTTTTAAAAATTCTCTTTTCTTTTTACTCCTCTGATTGGGTGTTTTTCCCTACCTTGTCTTCTAAATCACTGATTTGATCCTCCACTTCATCCAACCTACTGTTTTTCCTTCCAGTGTATTCTTGATTTTGGATATTGCATTCTTCATTCCTGACTGGTCCTTTTTTGTGGTATCTATGTCCTTTTTCATGCTGTTGATCATCCTGATAATCATTACTTTGAACTCATTAGCAGATAAATTGCTTGGGTCCATTTCATTTAGCTCTTCTTCTGGACAATCCTCTTGTTCTTTCATTTGGGGTCTGTTCCCTTGTCTCCCCATTTTGGCTGCCTCTTTGTGTTTGTTTCTGTGTATGAGATAGAACTGCTATTACTCCCAGTCTTGTTAGGGTGGCCTTATATAGTAGGTGTCTTGTGGGACCCAGTGGCACAGTTTCCCTGATCATCTGAGCTGGGTGCTCTGGAATCCCCCTTGTGTATGCAATGTGGGCCCTTCTCTTATAATTGAGTCTTGATTGCTATTGGCCCATTCGTGCATGGGATCGACCCTCTGGCTGGCTGACTGTGATGCTCAACCCTGACCGTGGTGTGCAAGCTGCTGGGCAGGTGATCACACGAAGCAGAATTCCCTCAGCAGGGTTTGGTGCCTGTTGAGATTTCCCTGCAGATATGCTGCTTGTGACGCTTACTGGATCCCTGTTCCGTTGTTGTCTGAACCAGCAGGTGTATTGACTCTGGGCCTTTTGAGAGAGACTCCAGTGCAAGCCAATTTCAGACACTGCCTGTGCCTGGCCCTGGGCAGCCTGTTTGAAGCTATCAGTGATACACAGCTTATGGCTCTCTCTGCTGGGCCTGGTTGCATGTGGAAAGCACTAAGCTGCATACCAGGCTGGCTTTCGGCAGCACCAGGCCTGGGGGGCAGGTCAGCAAGTGTTTCAAAGCTCACAGAGATCTGCCTCCGCCTGCAGGCTCCAGTTAGACTTAGAGCCTCTCGTTGTACTCCTCAGCAAGGCATAAGCTCCATAGGGTGGGGAGAGAGGCATTCCAGTAGGTGGGGCTATTGCTGCCCCACAGGCTATGTGTATGGACCAGATTTCCCTGCCCGAGAAAGATGGCTTCTACAGTATAAAGGAGTGACTCAGCACAGGGATCCTGGTGGCTGAGCCCTTAGCTCTCTCCCCAGAGCCACCCACCCCAGACTCTCCCCATGAAGCTCTAGTCCACTCTGCCCTCCCTCCGCCAGAGCCCAGGGTAAGTGGCTACAAACAAAATTTGGGGCATTGGCCCTTTAAAGAGGATGTCTGTGTCGCTAACCATCTCTCCCTAGTGGACAGAGACCCCATTGCTTTTCATAGCTGGATGCTATGTGGGCTCTTTTCCCAGTTCTGGTGCTCTAGGCTGGGGAGCCTGGCTTGGAGTTTAGAACCCCGACAGCTGAGATATCCCTCCAGAACTTCAGCTGCTGCCTATGACAGCCCAGTCAGCCCTCTTATACCTCTGCACTTCTTCCAGTCTCGATGCGGCTCCTTCTCAAAGTCCTTGGTTATATGGCTTCTCTCCGGCTAGTCTTCAGTTGGTTATTCAGGATGATTGCTCTATAATTTAGTTGTAATTCCAGTTTGGTGCTGGGAGGAGGTGAATGTAGCTTCCACCTAGTCTGCCACCATCTTAGTCTGCCTCAGGAATTTCTAAATACACATGTGTGTATATATAAATTCAGGAGTATGTATCTGACTAATAAAATTCTGAATTTTACATGTGGGTTGAGGGTGCAGACCCTCAAAAATCCAAGTATAACTTTGGACTCCCCCAAAACTTAACTACTAATAGCATTTTTATAACATACAAAGTATGTATTAATCGACTGTTTGTTATTAAAAAGTGCTAGTAAAAATAATAAGAGAAAATATAGTTACAGCTCTATACATATTTATTTTAAAGACTACATATAAGTGGACCCACACAGTCCAAATTCATGTTGTTCAGGGGTCAACTATTTATACACATCAGCCCTCAAATAACCTCATTTTTTTTCAACATCATTTCATTTATAATGTTGATTTTTTTAACAATGATTCCCACCTGTCCGGTGTGGCTCAGTGGTTGAGCATCAACCTATGAACCAGGAGGCCACAGTTCTACTTCCAGTCAGGGCACATGCCCGGGTTGTGGGCTCAATCCCCAGTGTAGGGCATGCAGGAGGCAGCTGATCAATGATTCTCTCTCATCATTGATGTTTCTATCTCTCTCTCCCTCTCCCTTCCTCTCTGAAATCAATAAAAATGTGTATATTTTTAAAAAATGATTCCCAGCCAGGGCCACTGTCTGTGAAGTTCGCACTTCTCCCCATATCTGTGCGGGTTTTCTCTAGGGAGTCTGGTTTCCTCCCACATCCCAAAGCTGGGCTCGTTAGGTTAACTGGCACAGCTCCATTGTCCTGTGCTGCGCAGGTGGGTGTGGGTGTGTGTGGTCCTGTGATGGAAGGGGTCCTGTCCAGGGTGGTTCCTTCCTTGCCCATGAGCTGCAGCGATAGACACAGCCACCTGCGACCCTGAACTGGAGAAAGTGATCTGGAAAGTAATTATCTTACTAGTTTTTATCAATCTTTCCTAAATGTATGTGTAGCTCACTTTTATTTCAATGTTTAATATCAGAAGTGTTTGGGTCTTTATTTAGACGTTAGGTGATGCTTTCGTGAGTAGGAATATGCTGTAAGAATGTAACTCTTGATTATATCAATCTATAGCAAGATCAGTTTCAGTATACATCATTTCCTTTAAAGTCACAGTTACCAAGAACTTATTGATGACATGAAGTAAGGACATACAGTATATAAAATAAATCTCAGTCTTTAAAAATCCAGAAAAGCATTCAGATGCACCTTAATAATAACAGACTCCCTTTGAATTCTCAACTTCTGCCCTGCTTCCTTCTCCACAGACTGATTTATCTCCTCAGCAGATATCTTTGAGATAAATTCTACAGAGTAAGTTGTCTCCTACCTTGGCTAAATGTTCCGACCTGAGCTCATGGCTCTTGCAGTTATAATAACTGGCAAATATCTATCACTCCTGGGGAGTTGTAACTCAGGATCCACTTCCCTATCATTAAACGTGTAGGGGAGTTGTTATCTTTGACCCAATTATGACAGAAAAAAATCTTCAGAAAAGAGACTCAGAACAGTAAGACCCCCACATATTTCATTACAAGACAAAATCGGGAGAGGTGCTGTCTCAAAGTGCCCGCCCCTCGTAAGGACAACCAACCACTGAGCAAAAGCACTGCACAGCCTGCCCTTCTCCACAGCCGTCCGCCTGCCTTCTGCGTGCCCTTCAGGGTCTCCAACGGCCTTAGATATATGAGTCCACACAACAGCCATGAGGCATGAACCTCTTAAAATATGTCCTCGTTTTTCCTATTAAGACCATTTAATGCAGACTGATGGGTTACAGGCTTCTTGAACACCGTCTAGGTTACAGCCGTCAACCCTCTACTATCAGTGAGGCAGGAGCGTAAGAAGCTGGGAAAATTCCTGGGCAAGTGCAACCGGGAAACTGAGACGAGATCATTAAACAAGGCCAAACAATTTGAACACTTTACAGTGACTCTATCTTCCCTAACCAAGGCCACTTGAGAGCAAATGGTTTATACCTCCCCTCCCTAACCAGAGAACACAGAGCTTAAATCACGCTGGTCAGGCAGACAGATAACAAAGACCCAATTTACGCCATTTGTGCCAGCCAAACCCAAGGACAGATGGAGTCAGGGGAACAAATAACCAAAACAACAACAACTAGAGCAGCCGTGGGCAAACTACGGCCCGCGGGCCGGATCCGGCCCGTTTGAAATGAATAAAACTAAAAAAAAAAAAGACCGTACCCTTTTATGTAATGATGTTTACTTTGAATTTATGTTAGTTCACACAAACACTCCATCCATGCTTTTGTTCCGGCCCTCCGGTCCAGTTTAAGAACCCATTGTGGCCCTCGAGTCAAAAAGTTTGCCCACCCCTGAACTAGAGCCAGACAGACCCAAGATAAAAGTAAGGCGGTGAAGGTGACCAGAGAATAATCCCAAACTCCCCTATAGGCTCACCGTGAAGTATCAACATTTCGAAGGCCACACCTGGGAAACTAATGAATATTCTGTAAGACCCTCCCCTGAGACCTCCCTAGGACTCCCGCCAGCAGAGATATAAAAACCCTCCAAACAAAGGCCCAGCACACCTGGCCTCTTCTCAGGCATGGACTGTTTACTTTCTCTCTCCTCAACTCTCAGGGTCCCCACAAGACCTGCTCTCTGGGGTGCAGCAGGCAGCAGCAGTTCATCCCAAGCTGACCCCAGCTGAACCCGTCTCCAAGGCCCCCTTCCTGACTTACCAGTGAGCTGACAGCAGCCTGTGTGGCTCACTCCTGTCCCTGTCACTTGTGCTTCCCAGTGAGTTCACGCAGCCCAGTGTGGCTCACTTCTTTCCTACTCTTTACGGAGCTAAGCACAGCCCCGTCTGGCTCGCTCCTGCTGCGACTTCTACCTAAGCCTTCCTGTCTCTGACCCAGCTCTGATGAACACACTCACAATCACCTGGACTCGCATTGTGAAATCTTTCCCGCACGCGGTCAGGAACCCACACCCTCCGGGCCGGCCTCAGCAGACCGCTCCGCCCAGTGTCCGTCGGGTGACAGAAGGGGACCTGGAAGTCTTACCCCTGCTCATCCTCCCGACCAGGTGACCTACCCCTGCCACACCCATCGTTCCCGAGGCCAGGGCTACACAGAGGTGGCGAGCACGGACACGGCCTGGCTCTCTTGCAAGGTCTACGTCCCTGGCTCCTTGAGGTTAAACGTTAGTCTGTCTCAGGCTGAGAGGGAACAACAGGGAAGGAGAGTCCCGCCATAAGGCCCAAGACAGCCGCCGGGCTCTGCCTGAAGCCGCAAGTGTGTGGTTTTCTGCACTGAGCTGAGCTTCAAAGCTTATCATCACCATTTACTCTTCTATTAAGAGCAAACCTCACTCCTCTGTTCTGAGGTCTTCACAGAAGTCACTCTCCACTGCAGAAAGGCAACTGCACCCCCGCCAGGCGGCCTCTGATGGTCCCCCCACCCGGAGCCTGAGGTCTGTGATCGAGGCCTCGCCATCCCAAAGGGCTACCGCTAAGGTTCAGCTCCTTCCGAGAAGAAAGTGCAATTGCTGCTCAGGAAACACAAAGCAGCCACTTACCTGAGAGGAGGCCGCCCCGAGTGTCTGACAGCCACCGCTCGCTGCAGCCGCTGGGGTCTGATGCCCCCGGCGCCAGGGAGGTGTGGTCAGAGCAGGCAGATGCGTGCGTCCCGAGGTGGCTGCGGAGGCAAAACAGGAACCTCTGCGTGCAGGTTCTCCTTTCCGTCTCTGGCCCGCTACCCCGTTTTCGTGAATGCTCCCAGGGGAAATCCCTCTAGGAGAGCTGAGGGTCCCTCCGCCAGGTCAGCAGCTCTCCGAGGGGGTCCTGAGTGGCATCGGCAAGCACCCCTGAGTGAGCAGTCAGCCTCGTGCACACAACGTGCAATACATTGAAGATGAACACAGAACGCGTTTAGAATATACCCACCTCTCTGATCTCTCCCACGACACCCAGTGCCCCGCTCACCACCCACCTGCCGTTTCCTCTGCCTACACGCATCCCCCAGAAGCCCCGGGGGTGACCTGCACACCCCAGATAAGAACTCAAGGCTTCTTTGCTTCAGGAATCTTTTGCTTTTAAATCACCGCTTCCCAATCGGTGTTCCCACAGGCAGGCCTTCTCCCGCCGCCCCGCCGGGCGCGCCCGGTGCCGCTTGCTCTTCCCAAGGACTATGCCCGCGGGTCCTCAGCAGCGGTGCTGGGAGCCAGCCTTTCCCTAATGCGCCCGCATGGCCCGCTGCATGCCACCAACACTGGGACCCGAGGATTTAAAAATCCCTGAACCTTAGCAGCCGCTCCAGCCTTAGGAGCGGGGCCTCGCTGCTCCGTCCGCGCAGGCCTCGCCGGAGAGCAGCTCAGGAGCCGCTGCTCGATGTGAAAGCCACAAACCTGCCCCTTTCATACGGCAGTTCTCATCTCACATGTCAATATGCACCAGAAAGTGCCGAGACGGTCATTAACTGATGTGGCAAAGAGATCGAGGGCTACGCAGCCGCTCCAGCCTTAGGAGCGGGGCCTCGCTGCTCCGTCCGCGCAGGCCTCGCCGGAGAGCAGCTCAGGAGCCGCTGCTCGATGCTAAAGCCACAAACCTGCCCCTTTCATACGGCAGTTCTCATCTCACATGTCAATATGCACCAGAAAGTGCCGAGACGGTCATTAACTGATGTGGCAAAGAGATCAAGGGCTAAGTAAGGTGTCTGCGCACACGGCACATCCTCCTACCGAGACAGAAACAAAAACCGCAGGGAAATGGCAGTTCCGTCCAACAGCGCAGCGCGGGCCACAGGTGGAGCGGCCTCTTCTGCTGCGAAGGCGCACGCGGTGCGACAAGATGGCAGCCTGGACCCGCCCCGTGGCTCTCCACGGCGCCCCTGGGACCCTAAAGGAGTGACACCCAGAACCTGCCGACTAGGGATGTGGCCCCCAGTTTTCAAGGCAGGAACGTGCCCCTCGGAGCCCCCGTGCAGAGATGAGCTGCTTCCCAAGAAGCCGCTGGCCACAGGCTTGTGTGAGCTCACACTCTGACGGAATTAAGGGGTCAACGCACAAAACTCATCACGTAACCGCACAGAAAGGCTTCGTCGGCCAGGGACTTCTGAAGGCCCTCAGCCCCTGCAGACGGCAGGGTTCAATTCCTCTTCTAGACCAGCCTGGCCTCTAGTGTGACAAAACCTCATGGGCTTCGGGAAGAAAAAGAGGGAGACTGGCACCCAGGCCATGCCAGAGCCGCGGGTTAAAACCAGCCCTTTCCCTCCTTCCATCCTGGGGAAGCCGCTGTCCAGCTGCTCTGCTCCTGTGAGGGGAGCGGTGCCTGCCCCTCGGGGAGGAGGAAGCTGGCGGCCGTGCTGTGAGGTGAGCACAGGCCCAGGCAGCAGCTGAGCCACCAGCTTGCTCTCCCCCGTGAAGGGCGCTGTTGTTCATTTCTGGAGGAAGGAACTGGTTCAAACCACGACCAAGGCCACAAAACAACATGACTGCGGAACCCCCAGGGCCTTTTGTCTAAGGTGACAGACATATCACACGGGCCTGCCCTCCACACAGGCCCGAAGGAAATGACAAGCAAACGCAGCGAAAACAGGTTCCTCCTTCAATGGGATGTGGACTTGGCGGGGTTCCCGTCACAGCAGCTCGCTGTCGGAGAAACGAGGACCCACAGAAGGGCCGCCTCGCCGTGAGAGCTCTATCTGGCAGTCCCCCCGTGGCCCCGTGATTTCTTACTGTTCACACTGCTCTCCTCTCCGTGAGCGGCCTCTGACAACCACCTCCCCACCAAGCAGGCCCAGACGGAGGTGTAACTGCTGGAAATGTAAACTGCGAACCCTGCCTTGCCACTTCGACCTCCTCGCCCGACCAGGGTCCATCGTGATGTCTACGAACCAACCAGACTCTCATCTGTGGACCAGGATAGCAAAGGAGGGCGGGGCAAGCCCAAGAGGCAGAGCTAACAACCCACAATTTATAACCAGATCTGGGCAAAAACTGTAAAGGTGGTTTTTCATGACGTCCAGTGTACGGTGCCGTCCTAGGGACACCGCCCGCCACCTGGGAGGCGCGTGGAGGGACCGCCCTGTGAAAGCGAAGATGGGAGGAGGCATCGTTTCACTGTCAGAACCGAGACGTGAACCCATCGCTCTGGCACAGGGGGCGGCCTGTCGTCCTTCCTGACGGGCCGCACACTCCCTAACGGCTTAGAGAAACCCCAGGCGGCGTCTGCAGGAAGTGGGGGCCGCTGGTGAAAGGTCTCAGAGACCAGAAGGGGGAGTGTAGCTTATGCACAACACCACTTCCCTGTCTCCCACGTTACAGACCAACAGTCTGTCAGTGCCTCAGCTCACGCAGACTTGGTGCATTTTAGAAATCAAAGACGTTCTGAAGAGTAACACGGGTTAAAAGAATATTTCATTGTAAATAACCGGTAAAATTACTCTATACAGTCCCGCAGAATCTGCTGAAGGGTTTTTCTTGCCTCGGATCTTAAAAGTCAAGAAGGAAGCCAGCGGTAAGAGAGTGAAATGACAAACTGCGCCCGGCAGGACAAAAGGAAGGCCTCCCTCTGCCTCGCCGCCCCTGTCCCTTTACTTCGCTGGGGAGCCGGGTCAGAGCGTGGCTCCTGGTCCGACCACCAGGGAGGCAGATGCCGTCCACGCCACGTCGCCCACATAACTGCCGATGCGTCGCTGAGCGGCGAGGGCAGGCCGTGTGCTCACTCACAGCTGAAAATGTTCCCGGAGCAAAACCAGAGAACGCTTATCCCCAACGCGTCCCGTCCGCCAGCACATCAGGAACCCCGAGCTCCATTTCCTTCCAAATAAAAGGCTCTGGCATCAGCAGTGTGGCTAACAGGTAGGGCTCTCCCTCAAATAACGGGAAGAGAAGGTGTAATACATCTAGAGCACGGCGAAATAAAGTCTCTCTCCTCAGGAAAAGGGTTCCTTCATTCGATTAGAGGATGCGTGACTAAGGGGGTCGTTAGGAGTCTCTTCTGCAAGTTTCTGAGCAGTTCATAAATCCAACAGGAAATCGCCAGTCAGTAACTGGTCCCTAAAGTCTTTACTGATGGGTTCCAGAGCCCTCCGTCCCGACTGTCCGGCCGGCTCCACTCCTCCGAGGGCTTCCGTGCCGGGGGCGATGCTTCTCAGTGATTCGGTGATTCTCCTGACGTTCTGCAAACTCCCCTCAGTACGTGTCCTCATAGTCTGAGTCCTGGAGAGGAAAGGGCAGCGGCTGCGGTGAGTACGGGAAGTATCATTAGAGTCAGAATTTAGCCAATGGCCACACATTAGGACCCCCCAAAGGAACCCAGTTTGGGGCAACATCAACATGAGGTGGCACTGGCTCAATCCACCTACATGGTCTCATGGCGAATTTCTGCTTTGAAACCCTAAGCGTTCCCTTTTCCTCGGCGAATACTTTTTAAAACCTCAGCACTCATAGGAAGGCGCCCAGAGGCTGCAGAACGTGCAGGGCTGTGGCCTGGCGTTTAGGCCAGGAGTCAGGCTCCCTCTGAGTTTCATTCCCTTGCTGGCTGGGTGACCCTGAGTCTCACTCTTTAACTTCTCTAAGCCTCAGTTTCCTCATCTGTAAAATGGGGATAATAAAAATACTGACACCACATAGAACAGCTCCGAAAACGGCATGAGACCATGTCTGTAACTCACTAAACACTGCCTGGCTCTTGGTAAGCTAAGCGCCCGTATTCCAACTTGTACTCACTGCTTTGAACCTCAAGCGGGCCGTTTGGCGCTCCCCGCACACCACACTTCTGCAGGCCATTCATTCTCCTGTTCTCCTAGATGACTGCGCATACCTTCCCCTCTCCCGAACCTCCAAAGCCGCCTCCTCACTCTCTTTGCAGCTGATGATCTTGCTTCCTCCCATCATGGGAACAGAGAAGCAGTCGGTAGTGAACTTCCGCAAGCTCCCATCACCATAGTTACCGACCCCCTGCATCTAGGCCCACCTACTTGCCCTTCCCGGCTCTGCCGAAGGATATACTGCCCTGCTCTTATCTAAGCCAACGTCTTCACTGGC